ATGAGTGATTCCCGATATTAAAAACCAGAGGAATGAGCATGGTGGTGTAGACCTATAATCCTGGCTACTAGGGAGGTAGAGATCAGCGGAATCATAGCTCAAGGCCAGCCCCAGGGGAAAAAACAGCAAGACTACCATCTCAACCAATAAGCCAAGCATGTTGGCTCAGTTCTGTAATCCCAGCTATATGGGAGGCATAGGTAGAAGGACTATGGTCCAGGTTACTCCAGACAAATGCAAAACCTTATTCAAAAATAATGAAAGCAGAAAAGGGCTGGGAATGTGGTTTAAGTGGTAGAGCACCTGCCTAGAAATCATGAAGCCCTGAGGTCAAAATTGCAGTACCACCAAGAAAAAAATAAAATGAAATTAAAATCAGAATTCTTTTTTCTTTTTCTGTTTGGTACTTGGATTGAACTCAGGGCCTTGTAATGCTAGACAGTTACTCTGCTACTTGAGCCATGCTCCAGCTCTTTTGTTTGTACTTTTTGTTTTTGAGACAGGGTCTTGCTAACTTTGTTCAGGCTGTCATTGAATTTTATCCTCCCTGCCTCCACCTCCAGAGTAGCTGGAATTAAGCCACCACACCTGGCTTAAAAGCCAGAATATTTTTCCAAGAACTATGTTCCATAGACTTTGGTGGTGTAGTAGCACTGGAAGGAAGTTAGGTAGAGCAGAGAGTAGGGGTGGAAGGAGGAGGAGACTGCCAATCATTTATAAATGGTGCTTAAGTGAGACCCGAAGCCTAAACTCTAGGCTGAAATCTAGGTGAACAAGTGCTGTTCTTTCATGGGCCTCTTTATGAAGCAGTGTGTGTAAAAGTTGATTTAAGGACAAACATACTGAATACTTTTTAAATTATAGTTGGAATAAAAATTAGGATGAATGGGTTCCACACAACAGAATCCTCAAATTCTTGGATAATAATCTGCAGATATAGCAAGAACTTCAAAATGTCAATCAGGAATAGTGTGCAGAGGGGAGAAAAAGAGGGGCTGCTCCAGAGAAGAAAACATCTGGTTTGCAACAGAAAAATGTTGAAGTGAAAGTGAAAAAAAAAAAAAAAAAAAAGGACAAACAGAAAAAATCTGAAAATATAGATGGTGGCAGCAGTGAGACACAGCCTCCTCAGGAGAAAAAAAAAGTGCCCAAGTAATCCTACCACTGAAAATAAAGATCCGATGCCTGTAATCTCATCTATGAGGGACATGGAGGTAGAAGGACTGTGCTCAGAGCCTGGCCTGGGCAAAAAAAAGCTCTGGCCCCTACATGAAAAGTAAACTGAAGCAAAAAGGGCTGGGGGCGTGGCTCAAGTGGTAGAGTGCTGGCCTACCAAGCACAGCACAAGACCTTGAGTTCAAATTTTAGTACTGCCAAAAAAAATGAAGAAAGATTTATGAACAGAACTAAGCTTAAAGATTCCTGAAGAACTAGAACCATGACTTGTCAATAACTGGAACTTAATTACCAGACAAAAACAGCTCTTTTATTCTTCCTGACGAATAGAATGTGTATTCCATTCTAGAGGATAAAGAAAATTATAAGAAGTCTTGAGGAAACACAGTTAATGAGGAGCAAGCTTTTAATAAAGTTTGACAAGGATAAGAGAGTACTTTGGTGTAATGTTTAACTTTAATGTTGGGTACTCACTACTCCACAAATTTGAGGGACTGCAGTATGTCCAAATCCTCACAGATCATTCTGACCCCCGCATGGCCCAGCTGTGTGGCACTCCACAGCTACTGAGATTATTTAAACAAACTGGAGTGATGTTGGCCTTTAAACTTCTGGATGTGAAGAGTCTTGTTTCTTACTGAATTATCTTCATAGTGCCTTCAAGTCCTTGCTGAAGAATTGTGCAGTTCAGTGCCTGTGATTGTGGAGCAGCTCCTGAACACCACTGGGAAGTGGTGCCTGGGGCCTCACTCACACATATTGGATCTCTGTAAATACCATCTTGCTCTTCATCCTTCTCTTGTACTAATGATGTGCTTTGAAGATGCTAGTGTATAACACAATTGATGCTTGTTTTCTGTTGATTTTAAGCAGAGAAAATAAAAGGGCTTACTGTTCCTTTTTTCTTTTTTTTTCTATTTCAAAGTTGTTACTAGTGTTTTCAGTGATAGTCAAGAGAGAGAGATATGCTATAGAGCATTTTATTACCTAGTAGACAAAGCTGCTTTTGAATGCTGGTGGCTCTAATCCTTTGACACTATGTATTTTTATACTATGTTAATGTGCTAATGCTATATGAGAAAACAAACTGATTTCTAATGTCAAAGATTCAGTTCACCATAAATCACTGAATACACTCGTGCATTTGTGCTCAAATTAACCAAGAATGGCAGCTTATTTCATAGGTTTTGTGTTTGTGTATAATGTATGTTTTAACATTGCATTTAACAATGCATTGAATAGCTACAATTTTCTGGAAAAGTTAATCTTTTGGGAATTGTTTTCTGGATCTTCAATAATTTTTTTTCTTTAAATTCAAAAAAGAGGAATGGGAGCAGGCACATAGCCTCACACATGTAATCCCAGCTACTTGGGCGATAGAGAATGGAGGATGGATGTTTAAGGACAGCGCATGAAATACTTAATGGGACCCTGTCTCAAAGAATAAGACAAGTGAGGTGCATCACACCTGCAATCTTAGCTATGTGGGAGGCAGAAGTTTGAGGATCACTGTATAAGGCCAGCCCAGGCAAAGAGCATAAGACTCTATCTGAAAAACAAAGAGCTAGAAGCATGGCTCAAGTAGTAAAAGGTTTACCTATTAAAAAAAAAAAAAACCCTAGTACCACAAAAAACAAAAACAAACAAACAGAAAAAGCATTGGAAGGATAGTTCTTCCAGGAGTCTGCACTGTGTTCTGTCAATCTGCAATCGGCAGTGGGCATGAACAAAATCTCAGATGCAAGAATTTATCCAAATATCTTTTTGTAGAACATTTCAGTTGAATGTGTAGAAAATCCTTCCACTTACTTTACTGATCTTTGTTAGGCTTGAACTTTTAGATTTTTTTCTCCTTTTATATATAAATCAATAAAAGCAATTTCCAATATGTCCCAGGAAACAAAAACCACCATTTCTTCTAGCTAGTCTTCCTACCATATTTTTGTAGCCTTACATCCATCAAAGAGTAGATAGTTGATTTTTATTTTCCTCTTCATATGTTTTACTCATTTAAAATTCCTTGTGAATCCTAGCACAGGTGAAGTTTTCTGTAAATATTTTGATTTTATAAGCAGTATAGTTTAATAGACGGTACAGAGAACTTAAAATGAGAATTGGATTGCCTCTATGAGCCATTCCTTTATATGAGCTTGGATGAATTGTTTTAACCTCTCTTCTTGCAGGTAATTTTGAACTAATGATAATTCTCATTTATTTCATGGGATTTTTTTTTTAATGATATTGGGTTTGAATTTAGGGCTTCGTGGTTGTAAGGCAGGTTCTCTACCACTTGAGCCATGGCCCCAGCCATTGCTTTGTTCATTTCTCAGGTCAGATCTCCTGAGGCCAGCCTCAGACCTTGAGCCTCCTGATCTCTGGCTCTCGAGCACCTGGGATTACAGATCACTGCCATGAGCCACCATGCTCCGCCATGAGGGTTTTTTTATGTATCAAATATCTTTCTAAAATAATTGGCAAACTGTGAACAGTTATTCAAAATTGATGGCGGGATTATGAGCATACTAAAATCTTTTTGCAGTCTTTGTAAAGTCATGAATACTGAAAAGAGCAATATACTTCATTTACTAAATTTTTTTTTTTTTTGGTCATTAGAATGGTATTCACTCTAATGTAATATAAATGGGCATAACAATGGAGTAGGCCCTGGTTACTGAATGTAAACTAGTTTTTACAAATACTGTGTATGGTTTATCTTTTTGGCAGGACAGGGGTTTGAACTCAGGGCTTTACACTTGCAAAGCAGGTGCTCTACCACTTGAGCCACACCTCCAGTCCATTTTTGTCTGCTTATTTTGGAGATGAGTTCTCATGAACTATTTGCCCAGGCTGGCCTTGAACTGTGAACCTACTGATCTCATCCTCCCAAGTAGGTAGGATTATAGGCATGAGCCACCAGTACCCAGCTTAAATACTATGTCTAAAAAGAAGAAAATTCACTGGGTACAGTTCATATATGCTTGTAATTACAGCAACTCAGGAACATAAGTTCAAGACCAGCCTAAGCAACGTGGCAAGATTGCTTCAAAAAAAAAAAAAAAAGAAAAAAGGAAATTCAATGATCTTACATTCTTTTGTGGAAAACTATCTTACCCTATTATAACATTTTTTCAAAAGAATTTTAAAAACAATTATTAATTAAAACAGATTCATATTCGTATTTTTGTCAAGAAAATAATAAGTAGTTTCTTTTTTATAGACAGCCATCTTGGTAGCCCTCTTTCCATTAGTATTTATATTAATGTTAGCAAAAATTGCTAATGATCACACCTTCCACTTTTATTTTTTTGGTGGTACTGGGGCTTAAACTCAGGGCCTTGTACTTGCTAGGCAGGCGCTCTGCCACCAGGCCTCCAGCCTCTCAAGTTCTTAATTTAGTTAACAACCCTTGGAAATACAGAAAAACAAATTTTTCTTGTAAGTGTAGAAGTAGAGTCTCCACAATTTTTGAAACAGTGTAGAAGAATTGACTCTGAATTTATCACTTTCTGCTTCATATTTAAATTGTTTCATTATTAGGAAAGTTTTCTGGACACTCCACTGAAAGAGTCACTTTGGGAATTCTTTTTAAGAGAGATGAAAACACTTAGGGGGAATGTTTTTTTAAGATGACAGGTTTGGTTTCTTGTTTTTGAATTTTGGTTTTTATTTTTATTTTTTGGTCTAAATATCTTCAGGACTTCTGTGATCAAAGTTTTTAAAAATAAATTAAATTGAGTCCTTCCTCTGTTACTTGGGACTGTAAGTGATTTCTCTAGGTCAAATTCTAGTCTGTTTTTAATATTTATTTATTCACTCATTTTTAGGAGATTTTATGAAGATGGAGCAATTGTGTTGGGGGAGGAGGCAAATATGCTGGCTGGCATGCTACTTGGACTCAACGCCATTGATTTCAGGTACTTAATAGTTAATTAAAAAGTTTCTAAACTTTTCTACCTCATAATAGCTTTTATTATGAATTTTACTTTCAGTTTTCTACATAAAGCACACAGTTGGGTATTCATATGTTGTTCCCTTTCAAATCAATTAGTTTTCTAAGTGAGTTTGCGCTCAGAAAAGAGATGGTCTCAAACTTAAGGAAGTGACAGGCTCACTGTCTAACTTGAGTAAGAGGAAAGATTAGACTGTATTCCTCCAAGCAATACCTGGTTCACACTGAAGGAAAACTTGGTATTTTTCAGTAACTGCTTTAAAATGAAGACATAGACTTAAAGAAAATTCAGGGGAGGAAAGATTCTTACTTTCTCATGTGAAGATAAAGAAGAATCTGTCAGGCTTATCTTGAGTATCTTATATTTCTTGGGTTATGTATCTAGAATATCAAATAATATTTTTAGCATTTGCTTTTATTGTCAACAAGATGAATTGGTTCCAGACTAAGATAATAAGAGCTAAAAATGGTCACTGTAAGTTCTTTCTGGATTTATGGAGGCATCCTTTTTCATTTTTTTAATTGATCTCAGATTTTATGTTATATTAAAAGTAAAAGGTTTTTCGATAAGACAACTCAAAAGACAAGAATGAATTATTTTTTATTGAAGCATAGCATTTGAAAATTCAAGAATATTAACAATATTTAACACATTTAGATTTTAAATTAGGAAACAGTTTTGCCATTTTCACTGAAGATCTTTAGTCACTTCCCTTTCAATGTATTTGTCATTTAAAGTCTAACATTTCTCTATGATTTGATAAACTAGTATTAATTACTTTTAATTTTTAAGACAAGCATGATTGGTATAAAGGTTGTCTTTTTGACCCTATAAGGATGTTAGCTTTATAAGCCATATCATTGGCATTGTCTAAATTCTTTACAATCTAGGTTTTATTAGGTATTTGTTTTCTGGTAACAAAATAAAATACCAGGAAGCTGGGCATGGTAGTGCATGCTTATAATTCTAATATTCAAAGGCTGAGATAGGAACATCACAATTTCAAGGCAAGCTGAGCTACAAAGAGAAATATTGTCTGAAGGACAAAGGAAAAAAAAAAACTGGTATAAGAATGTTAACTAGCCTGTAATCCTAGCTGCCTGAGGCAGAGATCAGGAGGATCCCAGTAGTTCGAAGCCAGCCGGGGCAAATAATTCTTGAGGTCCTATCTCGAAAAACCCTATCACAAAAAATTGAGCTAGTAAAATGAAATGAAAACAAATATCTTGATGACATTAACAATGTTTCTGTAAATGAAAGGAAGCTCATATAAAGTGTTGCTACTTGAATTCTGCCTTACTGAAGTCTGGAAAAGTATACATACACCCTAGCTATTAATATGTCTGAACAGTATTTTGGCAGGCAATACCTAAAGAAACCAGAAGGTGGGAGTTCATAGATGATATTTTTTCATTTGAAACACCAACTTACATTTTATAAGTATTTCTATGTTTATTTTTCTAGAAGATACTTTTTTAACAGCAATATCACTAAGCCAACCACTTTTTTGTTATCTTTTTGTATGTGCCATCATACAAAAATAAAGATTATTGGATTGGGAACCAAGAGACACAGATTTCCTTTCTTAGCTCTAGCAGATTCATAGTATGACTTTGAGCAAGTAAGAGATTGTTTATACCACTTAACTTTGATTTAATATTTCTGTATTAATATGAATTATTTATCTTCTATTGTCTTAGCTTCTGCCTAAAGGGAGAGGGACTGGATGGTACCTTTCCTGCTGTGATAGACTATACACCATATTTGAAGTTTGAACAAAGGTATTTGCAATTTTGAAATATGTTATTGAAATATTAATTATATTTGAATGTCATGTGGTCCAGTGTTCTTAGATTTAAACTATTTTGTACATAACATTTGTTTTAGTATCAAAAATAGAGTACAAACTCCAGTTGCATTTTTAATATTTATGTAAACAGACACATTTTACATAATTGAAATCCCTGTATATAGTTTTATGTAAAGAAACATTTATATTGCTATAGTTAACATAGAACAATAACTGTAATACACTAGATTGTTTTCTGTTTTATATCCATTTTGAAAAATAATGAACATCCTTGTACAAATAAATTTTGTTTTTATTCCTATGGTAAATTCTCAGTTATTTCAGGTAAATTCAAGGAAAAATTTGAGCATTCTTAAAATGCGTGTGCTTACAAAAGAGTGGTATCAATTTATCTCACTACTCTCTACTCTACAATACTTTGTGAGAGTAATGGGTTTCCCACCAACTCTTCTCCATTTAAAAATTAATTGGGTGAAATCTATAGATGTTTCTAAGGTCTGGTTGAAAAATAGATCTGCTGAATACCTTGACAATAATCTATATTTCTAAAATGTTATTATCAAACCAAGGCTGGAAGATAAGTGTGTAAATATAATAAAATAATGTATATAATATAGGTGCTCAGACACATACATTTACTATGCTTATTGAGTGTATAATGCGGGAAAGGCATTTCCTAGATGTCAGGGATATATAGATGATAAAAAAATGTAAAAAACTTAGGGACTTCTGAAAGCGAACACAGTCCCTGTCTCAAAAGAGCCACAGTCTAGCAGAAGTCATTAATATCTCAAAGCTAGGCATTTGAAGATATTTTGGATGGTGAGGGAGAAGGAGTAATAGTGTTATGACCTCAAGATTTCTAATTACTTTATTCCATGGAAAAGGGATAATTCTAGTACATAAAGTCTAGTAAAGAAATGTAGTGATAAGATGTTTTGAGGACTTGGGGGTGTGTCTTAAGAGATAAAGTGTTTGTTTAGCATGTGCAAAGCCCTGGGTCCATCCCAGTTCAACAGCAACAAAAAAGATATTTTTATACATGCTGGATACAGTGTCTTAAGCCTGTCATTCCAGCTATTTAAGAGGTGGAGATGAGGAAGTTTGTGGTTTGAGGTCAGCCTGGGCAAAAAGTTAATGAGACCCCCATCTCAACAAATAAGTCAACCATTGTGGTTTATATCTGCAATCCCAGATATGTGAGAGGCAGAAGTAGAAGGACTGCAGTCTCAAGTCAGCCCAGTCAAAAAACATGAGACCCTATCTGAAAAACAGCTATAGCAGAAGGGCTGGAAAGTGTGGCTCAAGTGGTAAGAGTGCTTGCCTAGCATGCATGAAGTCCTGAGTTCAAACCTCAGTGCTGCTAAAAAAAAAAACCAAAATCTCTTAATAAAAAGAAAAGAGAGATGTTTTGAACAGGCATAAAATTATACTGTTTGGGGATATGTTTGATTATCTTACTTTGTGAACAAGACTAGTAGTTCAAAATAACAGTAGTGATATTTACTGAATTTTTTTTATATCAGTCATTGTTTTAAGTGTTTCTGTTAATTCATTTAATCTTCAAAAACCACGGAGGTAGGCAATGCAGTCATTTTTTACAAATGACAAAACTAAAATACATAGAAATTAAGTACCTTGCTAATCATCACAGAGCTACTTTGTAGCAGAATGGGCTTACATGAAAGAGTCTATTATACTTATTACAGTGCTTTTGAAAGATATAACAATGAAACCTTCTTAATAGGTGCTTTTAGAATGAATTTATTAATCTAAATCTTGTATCCTCAATTGCTTCATTACTTTTTGTCTGAAATCTTTTATTAATTTTAATTTAATTGTTTTTACATTTACTTATGTGTGTACATTATTTGAGCCACCTCTCCCTACCTCCTTTCTGGGCAGAACCTGTTCCACCCTTTTCTCCAGTTTTGTTGAAGAGAAAACATAAGAGTGTTTGAAATCTTTTATACAGCTTTTTCTTCCTTTGCTATACTAACCCAAACATCTGTGTATACTCTATTCCTACTATCTTGCATAAAGAATGCTAGAATAGAAGGGAAATAGCCAGATCAGTCTAGTCATAAGCCAGTTTGACTATTGGTTTTGGGTTTTTTTTTTTTTTTAAGAAAGATTTAAACTATGCTGCTTATCATGAAGAACCAATAGTTTAAAAATGGAGTTGCTTTCATGGACACATTAGACAATTTAAAAAAAAAACAAACCTCTGGCTCCTAATTTTAAGAAACTATTGCTTTGGGTTACTTTCTTATCACTATGACCAGATGCCTGCTTGGCAGAACATCGTGGCAGCTGGAATGAGTGGTGAAGGAGCTTTTTGATCTCATGGCAGACAGGAAGCAGAGAGTGACATAGGAGCGAGGGACCAGGTATAACCTTCAAAAGAGTGCCCCCAGTGACCTCCTTCCTCTAGCTAGGCCCTGCCTCCTAAAACTTCCACCATCCCAAACAGTGCCATCATCTGGGGACCAAGAGTTCAACACATCAGCCTGTGGGAATCATTTCATATTCAAACCATAAAACCATCAGAATCTCTCCCTTCTTCCCAAATTACTGCTTTTAATTTACTTTAAAAATAGTACCTATTCACTGAGGAAAAATTGGACAGTACAGAAAGGTAGAAGGAAGAATGTTTAAGTCACTAATTATTGTCAAGAAACAGCTGCTAGAAACATTCTTAACATTTTGTTGGATGGCTTTCTAGTCTTTTTTATGAATAGATACATTTTTTCCTCAATGAAAATGTAAATATAATGTACACATTCTGTTTTTTCTTTAAAACCATATAATGAACAATTTTACATATCATTACCATTCTACAGCTTCATTTCCTAAAATGAATAGAATTTAGTTATCTGTATAATATATTTATCTAAGTACTGTTGGACTTTTATGGTGCATTATGTTATCCACTATCGTATACAGTGTTGTAGTTAGCATCCTTCTAATTATGTCTTTTAATACAGACTATGATTATTTCTTTAAATTAAAATCCTAGACACAGAATTTCTGGGACAAATAGCATGTATATTATTAAATCTTTTGATATAAACAGTAAAATCGACACCCAAAGAGGTAATACCAACTTGAGTTTGTATCAGTAATATGTGAGGATGCCTGCTTCTCACTCTTTCCGTCTAAGTATTAAAACTGTGGTCAGTTTTATAAGTGAGAAATGATTGTTTTAATTTGCATTTTTGATTACTAATAAAGTTGAACTTTTTAAAATGTTAATTAAAATATATTTCCTTACATGGAGGTTAATCCTTCTGAAACGATATATTTGAAATATGTAATTAGTAATCTTAGAATGTATATCATATTTTAAATCAGTATAAATTTCATGTTGCATATCGATAAGAAAATAGTTGTTTTTCCCCAAGTTACCTTTTGATATAACTATAAATATCTTTAAACATTCTTCTCACTAGTGGCCCATACCTGTAATCTTATCACGTGGGAGACTGAGACAGGAAGATAGTGAATTCAAGTACTACACAGCAAGATCCTGCCTTAAAACAAAATACAAACAAGTAAAAACATAACCCACATTTTTTTTTAATTTATTCTAAGCCTGAAAATTCTAGTAGGTGATGATACCTTTAGGACACCTCTTCTTTCTTTTTTCTGTTTTTCCTCTTCTTTCTTTTCTTTTCCTTCCTTGTTTTTCTTTCTTTCTTTCTTTCTTTTTTTTTTTTTTTTTTGTGCTCCTGGGGTTTGTACTCAGGACCTCCATGCCTGCTAGGCAGGTGCTCTACCACTTGAGCCACTCTGGCAATCCCTTGTTTTTCTTTTTGACAGAGTCAAAAAAGAGCTATATAGCTCAGGCTAGCCTCAAACTCCCAGTGTTCCTGCCTCCCAAATCCTGGGAGCACAGGCATATGCCACTACATGCAGGTTCAATTTTTCATCATCAGCATTCTTACAGCTAAGTCGTTTATTTAAATATGATTATTTCCTAAAGACACAAATTTCTACAAACAAAATTACTGACTTAAAAAGACTATACATAATTAGGCATGCTATTAAATTGCCCTTTCCATACATAGATACTCTGCCTTCCTCTGCCCCTTAGTAGGCATAATCTAATCATTTTCTACCTAAGGCCATGTGCACTGCATCCTATCCTCTCTCTTCTATCAGATCTTTGTTTCAGCAGTTTTCCCTCTCACTTATTATCCCTTTTTTCTGGACTGTCCCACATATTCTAGCACTGAGAACGTAGTGGAAAAACAAACTCAGTTTCTCCTACTCCATAGTCACAATACGGATCACATCTGATGATTCCAAAATGGTTGATGATTTCTCTCCACCTGCAAAGAAGCAAGCAGTTCTGCAGTGAACAGTGTCTGGGTGTCCTCTAGTTCAATTTGATTCTGACGCTGTCTGCGTAGACATAGTGTCAGTTCTGCAAGCCTGTCCCTACTTCAGATGCCATTCATAAATCTGGGCTTTCTGTGACCCATCTTTACACTCAATTAATTTGCTAGAGCACCTCACAGAACCCAGGGAAACACTTTCTTATGTTTACTTATTTACTATGAAGGACATTTTAAAGGATACAATAAACAGTCAAATGAGATGCTACATAAGGTAGAGTCTGGAAGAGTGCAGTATCTTCTGTCCTTGTGGGGTTGGGGTGCACCACCCTCCTAGCACATGGATGAGTTCTCATTCACCTTCTTGTGAGCTCCACAAGATTAGCAGTCCAGAAACTCTTCAAACCCTGACCTTTGGGATTTGGGAGAGACTTCTGTGCATGGGCATGGTTGAAGTTGGACAACCATGTAGAAATGTGATTAGACAGAAGAAGATGATTTAATGTTAATAGACTGAATGAGGAAACCAGTGAAGCCTGTCTCCACAGATTCTTCTTAGCCTTTTATGCACCATTCCTTCCTGCCAGGTATGGAACAAGATCTCTTCTGAAGTAGGGATATCATCAGACAA